CCATGGAGAAGCTAATTCATAGCAACTGTAGCACTGAGAGCTGCCTGCCATTTTAGTATTTCAACTCAGGCACAAAAAGTTTTAAAAAGTGGAACATGAGTTGATCCTGAGTCAGAAAAGATTGATGATGATTTTTTGGGTGTTGGTCTCTAGTCCCTTGTCCTATCTCATATGCCTAGGACCTATCAGCACTAAATCCTTGTGGGGGTGGGATTGTTCCTTTAGTTTTCCTAGTTTATATCAAGATCAGGAAGCTGAACTATGACTGTGGCTCCTGTATCATACTCAGATGAGCCAACTCCAGCCTGATTTGCCTTGCTTTCACCACTGACCTCATGAAAATGGGTGTGTTTAAGTAACTGTTCCTTCTTTGTCCTCTGTGCAGCATATCTTGTCCTGAGCCTAGTTTAGGAACTGCACAGGGCAATCAAGTACTTCCTGTTTTTGGCTATTAGGATATCAGAGATGTAACCATGTACAGTGGTACCTTTAGTTATGAACTTAATTCATTCCGGAGGTCCGTTCTTAACCTGAAACTGTTCTTAACTAGAGGCGTGCTTTTGCTAATGGGGCCTTTTGCTGCCGCTGCGCCGCCAGCTCACAATTTCCATTCTCATCCTGGGGCAAAGTTCTCAACTCGAGGTAACTCTTCCAGTTTAGCAGAGTCTGAAGCATTTGTAACCTGAGGCATTTGTAACTCAAGGTACCACTGTACTTACTATATTCCTGCAAAATTCATAGAACATAGGTCTTAGATACTGCAGCCGCAAAAAAGTTTTGATAGGTGAAAGATGTATCAGAACGTATTTTGAAATCTTTGGGGCACTCCTGGGCTGTGGCTCCACTCCTCCAGCTATATCCAACTGGTGCCCTTGCACAAACCGAAGGTTTTTTGATCCAGCCAAAGACATCTGTTAACAAAGAAAGAGAGAAGCAATTATTGTCAATTCACACAAACACCATAACACCCAGCACCCCATGAAAATTGGTTCTGGGAGGTCCCCCAACTGGGGTTGGGAGATAAATTTCATTCCGTTTGCATTTAATGTTCACACTTCCCAACAATACATGACCTGAAACACACCCATTCTTCAAAATCTGCACTTCTCCAAATTTTGCAATGCAGTTCTCCAGCCAAGAAATGTCTACAAAAGTGTATATACTGGGGCAAAGTGTGCATAAATAGCATACAAAAATGCATTATATGTGTATATTAGGCAAAATTGCATACGGACATATATAATGAGAATTTCTCTCTAAAATCCTGATCGATTTTCATGAGGACTTTTTGATATATAAAAAAATTCCAACTGAATTTAAGATTGGAAAAATGAGAAATGGAGAGAAAATGGAACTGACTGATTCTCCCATCACTACCCCCAACCTTCCTCTGTCAGCAGTTGCCTTCACCAGATCAATAGCACTAGAAGGACCAATTGCATGAGTTAGTTGCGCCGTCAGTATAAGAGGGTTCTGCAAGGCAAGAAGTGTTTCATATTGAATTGTATTACATATAGTAGAAGCTTGCAATAAAATAATTGTCTAGTTAGTTTAAATCAAACTCTGCCTTGGCCCTTGCTGCTGTCTTAGAGTTGATGTATCATTGTATGTATGTTCGTGTATTTCTGAAAATCATATGGACCTGTTACTCTGGTCTCACTGTACCCTAGTTTCCAGAATTCTTTCCCTTCCTGCCAATACTTCACATCCATGGCAATAAATAAGGCTTTGCCACTTTCCCAATTTCTTCCAGCTCACTCCATTCTTTACCACTATCAGCACAGTTTCTCAAATCCCTCTTTCTCAATCCCCCTCTTATTCTCTCATGACACTTTCAGCTAGCCTCTTGAACTGTTTTCCAGCCATAATAAATATATTCCACATTCCATTGCTTGCCCAACTTGATTTTCTCAGTTTTCTGCCTTCTATGTCATTTTCATCAGCTCTCCTCTTCTTCCATTTTTTTTCCTTCTCTTAGCTTCCCGTTTTTACATTTGCTACTCTATCTCCTGGTTTAAATTGCTAACCCCAACCTCCCCAATAGCTCCTCCTCTCCCTACAATTTATGTAAAGTTTTAATCTCAGACAAACTGGTCTCTCTGTTCCCTTGCAGAAAAATACTGGCCTTGTTGTTTCTTTAAGCATTTGAGATGTTTGTGCACATTCTATGAGATCACATCAGATCGGGCAATTGCTTCTGAAAACTTCCAAGCCCTTTAACTGAATGCAGTGACTAGATCTATTTATCTTCCTAGGAAGAACCAGTATCTATCTGCATTGTTTTGACATGTAATTATTATTTCATTAAAGATTTGCAGAAATGGCTAAAACACCCTCCCCCTAAAATCCCAGAATTTAATCCGAGTCCTCAGTGTACACACAGGAATTATGCTATGCACACATACTTTTCACACAAGTAAAGATTGTCTAATGCACTTGAACTTTAGCAACAGGCTTTGCACATGCAACAATGATGTATTCAGTGATGAAGTGAATAAGAAAGCCGACCTACGTTTGCACTCGATCTCATGTGCACAATGTATCTCTGGAGCACTTTGGGTTGGGACGCATGTATTCAAATACCACCATGCAGTTGTTGATGGAAAGAGAGCAGAATGAAGGGGAAAGTTTGCTTCTGATCCTTCACTCTCCAGACAGAAGACAGGGGTAGGGGCCATTCATTCACATGTTGAGCATATAGGACAACAGCAGTTTGAATCAGCATTTCACTTAGCTATGCCACACACTAATTAAGTACAGATGTAATCTGAAGCAGCACTGATACCTGACTTAACCTGTGACTGTAGGCAGACACTGGTTTGCCTACTTAGATGCCAAATAGCAATTGTTATTTTGTCAATTTTTTTTGGGGGGGGGGGTTGTTACTATGTTTTAATGATTGAGGTAACTGGAAGCATTTTTTTAAAAAAACTATTAATTAAATTAGTTGTGGGCTATTTAAATATGTTATTTCCTATTTTTCTTTTGCGACACATGACATCATACCAGTGTGGTATAGTGGCTACAGTGGTGGCTTAGCACCTGGGAGATTAGGGTTCTAATTGCCCCTTTGCCATGAAACTCACTAGGTGGCCTTGGGCCAATCATTATCTCTTAGCATAACCTACCTTACAGAGTTGTTGAGAGGATGAATTGGGGGAGGAAAAGCCATACAAACCACCTTGTGCTCCTTAGAGTAAATGTGAGATATAGATGCAATGAAACAAACAAGATAGACAGGCAGCTGGACAGACAGAACTGCTATTCACTTCATGCCAAACCAGGGTTTCTTGTTATGTGTGAATTACCCTGAAAATAAACTCAGAGTGAGGAATATGCAGGTGTGAGTTTCTAAAAAGTACTTGGTTGAGGAGGGGGTGGGAATGAATAGCTTGTCAAGATATCTTTTTAGAATTCTGCTTATATTTTTAACATAATGATATTTAATATGAAAAATGAGTCCCGACTGATTTCTCTCTCATTTAAGAAAACAGTATGTTTCGGATTAAAGCATATGTCTCAAAATGGGGTATTTTTTCCTTACACAAACTGCATAGCAGAGCGAGTGTGTGTGTGTGTGTGTGTGTAACTTATCTACTTTAATGTTTAATTTCCTTTCAAATATTCTAGCACTGTGAAAGTAAGTATCAGGAGACACAATGGCGTTTTTAAGGGAGCATTGCGGCCAGCTTATAGGAAGAGGGTTTTTTTATCAGGGAGGAGGGGATTAAAAAGGGGGGAAATTTTCCACATCTGCCTTTCAGTACACATCACTGTGCACTGCTGATATGCATACAGTACAACTATTGATGCACACCAGTCTAACCCTGCCCCATCTGAGGCAGCAAGAGTAGAATCATCCCCCTTTGTCTTGGTGCTTACATATCTTTGTATATTCTGCATATGCATGAAATAAATGCCTCTCGGAAGGTGTCTGGTGTGTTCAGTGCTGATCATATTTGGGAGCCTCCCTGTACATTCACAAAAGGACCTATGTGCATTTGTTAAAGATGCAAGCTAAGCTCTGAATGTCAAAAGTATGCACTCCATATTTGAAATGGTGTGCATTGTGAGTTAAATATATATCCCTGTTAACCATATTTCTTTGGCTATCTATATTCTAGAAAACATAGTTCCCACTAGCACATATACATACATACATATATATATATATATATATGAATATAAGAAATAAGGGGGGGAAGTGGACTGAGAGCTGTCGAAAGGGGTTTTTTTAATAAAAAAAATATACTGACAGTTGGGTATTGACTGGCTTTTTAACACACACTCCTCTAATTCTAATTCTTAATTAGAATGCCATAGCTAATTAATAAGTTTTTTCCAATTATAAATTAACTTAGGATCAGAACTCTGGCTTTGCATGTAATTTCCTATAATCGCTAAAGCTACTGCAAAAACATGTCTCCTACCAACCGTAACTTTTTTTTATTTAACACAGACAGACAAGTTCTCACTGGGTTTAAATTTTGCAGCAAATTATCTCTGTTGGGATTTATGGAAGAATTTCCTTTTCTTTTCTTTTTTAATCGCAAATGTTTTCTTCTCGCGCCACCCCCCCCCTTTCCGCAACCTTTAAACAAAATAGGCTACTGAATGGACAATTCCTTTTTGAGATTTTTTTTTTTAAAGAAAAGAATTCATCTTAATGTTTTAATGTTATTACAGAGAAGGAAGAAAGAGAGCAGGTGATAATTCGTCATCCCCCCCCCTTCATAACCGTTATCACCTTTTCATGGTTTCTTCAAAAATGATTTGGGAGGTGCCCTCATGGTGTTCATTTATAGAATCTTAACTGGAGAGACACTTATCTCTTTAGTAATGAACCAGTATAATTAAAGGTGGGAATGTGGAAGAGTTCAGGCTCTGGCAACATGTCACATAGTTGGCTGCTGCAATTCCTCCGTGGTTTATCAAAGACTACTCCTTTAATATGGAGATTACACTTATGTACTTGTCTGAACTTGAAAGGCATTTGCCTAATTTACTTATTAATGAGATGTAAATCTATTTGTACGGCACGTCACAAGTTTCCTGAAATCGCTGCTACTTAACTGGCGATAAACCCTATGATTTAAACGAAAAATAATACATTTAGCTTCCACATTCATTCTGTTAAAAATTGATATAGTCTATGTTAAATTTATTAATATTGCTTGCTGTCATTCAGTTTGCAGCTCTTACTGAAATATGACTTGACAGCGGCCGCATTAAAGATGTATGCCATTGTATTCAACAAAGATTAATGAAGCCCGGTAAAAATAGCTGTAAAAGAGAAAGTGATCCGAATGTAAAATCAGTGAATTAAATGAGGCCTTGCATACCATTTGTTAATATGCATGAGGAGGGAGGCAGCGAATGAAAATGTCTCCCTGCAAAGTTCATTTGGGAATGTTTCAATATTGTCTGAATACCACCAAACTACTGAACAGCAACTTAATAGAGACCCATGTTCCACTAAGGTCTGTCCAGCTGCCCTATGAAACAGAGGCAAACACACACACACACCAGATTTGCTTCCAAACAGAATTGGAGATATGCAATCTAAATAACATGATCCACACCAAAGGAAATCCATCTAATACACAAACGAGCATAGATGTGTCTTCTCTGCCTCCCAGACTTCTCAGGCTGTCTATAAGTGTTGGCTTTCAGTAATAAAGCTACTAGTGATATGGAGCTTTAATGTTATATATGCCTCTTTTATGGAAGAATTGTATGAAGTAATACTTACAGGGATTAGATGCCAAGGATTTATAAAAGGTTAATATGTCTGTCTGTCTTATCTGTCATACCTTTTCATACACTGAGATCTATGAAGTGATTTTTCTTTTGCAGAGTTCCTTAGGATATTCTGCCGCACCGCACCCCCTCCCCAGATGCTGATTTATTTCAACATGGTTCATTATCAAATGCTGCTGAATTTATAACCTAACAGGTTAAGAGTTCCAAATAAATTAGCAAGAACATAAAATACTATACTGTAATCACAGGGTAAACATAGCATATTTATCAATCAAGATGCAGGGTGTTTGTACAGGGCTTGAGCTACCACTGGCAGTCTTGCTTAAAGATTTGAATATTTTCTGCAAGGTCAAAGGTGCCTCACAATAGGCCATGTTGAAAGTCCCCCTCCTTTTCTTTTTCTTTAGGGATTATTTTTAATTTGGCTAGGTAGATCTTCGGCAGCAAAGTCATAATGCACCAGAAAAGATTGTCAGCTTGGAGGCAATTTGGAGGTATAATATGCACACATGCAGTATGAAACCTTGTAGAAAAGCTCTGCCTAAAGCATAAATTGTCCCAAAAGGATGAAAACCAGTGTTTAAATTCAGAACAATTTAGATGGATTTTTGTTCTGAGTCTCAGCTTATGTCACCACCAGATCTTAGCACTGGAATTCATAGCCCATGTTTTGTGTTTGCCATATTGAAAATTATTATTATTTCACACTATGCACTAATACACAATGCTCAGGTATTGGAGCACTGTGTATTGTTACTCGCTCCCAAGGGACTCAACAGTTCTGGGATTGTTGACACAATCTATTAAAAAAAAATTTGGATTAGGGTGGGATGGTCTGTCCCAGTTATTGGCAATCTAAGTTATTGTGTATATCTGAGATTAAATAAATTTAAGGCTAGTTGCCCACGCAAGGAAGTGTTGACTCTTCTGCATTAGTGGAAATTGTGACGTTCACTCAGGGCAAATGGAGTCATATTCGCACATAGGTTTATTTGGGGTGTGAGGGATGTAATTGAGCGATGCGCAATTTATTTCACCATACCCAACATAGCATGACTTCTGTACATCAAAGTGCATTTAAAAACAAACTATTTTCATTGCACTGAAGCTAATGGGAAAGAGAGTCCAACCCTAAGGGACTGTTTGAGATGCAGGGTTGCAAAAAGAGGTTTGTTTTGCCAGAGCACCAGTACCAGAAATGGTTTGTTCTGATGACTGGCTCACTTGTAGATAGGGGCTGCCAAGTGCTGCGGCAGGGATGTGTTTATATAACTTTAGACGTTCCAAGGCACCACACAAGGTTGTGACTGTTCCCAGTAGTAAATGGTGGGCTAAGTCACTGCTGCACAGCTAACCTCTAGTGATTTGGGTCACTGCTGCTTAGCAGGAGGTAGAGGAGTAGAGAGGTGAGCTGATGCGTCTTCCCTTTCCTACTCTTGAGCAAAACTAGAGTTATGCTGACCACAGCATGTAGAAGAGGGAGTATAAGAGAAGTGGAAGAACCTTAGCAGTCTCATTTGCAGAGGAACATTGGAAGCCCTGTGCCCAACACCCTCCAAAGCAACTTTTGATACAGGTGTGCCACACAGGAGCAGCTCAATAGCTTCTGTGCTGCTGAGATAGATGCACTTTTCCTCTTGAGCACCCAGGAAATTGTAATTCCAATTCTTAGTACAAACACCTCACATAATTGGTCCGTACCTACTTTTGCATTGACTCTAGTGGTTTGTGGGTTGATTTGTATTGCTGGAGCTAGGAGGGCTAGATTTTAACCTGTTCTGTAGTCAACCATTACGCAGCTTAGCTTGTGTGGGCTTTCAGAGGATCAGCAACACAGAATTTTAGGGGTTGAACCCAAAAAACAGTTTGAGAATACTGAGTGCACTACCTCTTTAAAAATCAAACCCCAAAACTTGCCTACCATTATATTGCTGAAAAGCCATCAGTCCAAATTCAAATATGTAATTGGAAAGTGAGCAATTTATTGCTGCTTTGGGGAGAAATAACCAGTGCCACTGGTGCTCTTGCTTCTACTTCCCATTCTCTTCTGAGTCTAATGCATCTTACTGCTAGTGGAGCACATGAGAGGCTTTAGTATATAACATACTAAATGTGTAAAATACTAATAGTTCCCCTTGAACTCGCCACCTTGTTAATCAGTACTCTTTCAGCATTGACACCTTCTGTTACTTTAATTCTTTAACATTTTGGTCCCTTATGCTCAATGCAATGCATCTTTCCTGAGAACTGGCTGGTTTCCAGTTGTCAAGTTGCTTTTCTCTAGCTTTCTAAGATGTCCATCTGGGCAATCAGAGGTAGGGAGGCAGGCTAATTTCTTAGTAACATACTGCCAGATAGCATTTGGAAGGAATAAGATAGCAGAGAAAAATAGAACGCTGGCAAGAACCAGAGCTGTCAAATTGCCTGTAAAAGAGCAGACAGGGTTGGCATAATTTTATCCACATTTTAAGATCAGAAGCATTTTGAGCCATTAATTGAGGAAAACAGATTCTGACAAGAAAACAATGAAGAACTAAGTCAACATAGTTTCCTTTGTTGGAATGCATAGATTTCTTTTTTAAAAAAAAGAAGAAAAAGCGGAAGCACTTTTTAAATCCCCAGCAACTAGAAATATGAGTTTATGCCCCTTGCTAGGGCTGGATTGATTATCGTGCTTAGTATACTATACAATAAGAACAAAATTAGTGACTCCACTACACTGCTCAGTTGTAAGAAACTATAACACTGGTGTACTGACCATCATAAGGACCACAATGACAAGATACTCCCATCTTAGCTCTTTGTGTAAGAATATGTATATGAGACTGCCTCTAGTATTGCTTTGAATTCCCTCTGAGAAAACTGTTCCTGGTTAGTCTGGTACTTGGAAATTGATTTCCTCTAGAATTTTGGAGTCAACAACACATTTGGCAGATCCAGTAATATGCAGAGGGATTTCCTGTGCATCCATATTTCGTACACGTGTAGAATTTAAGAAACTAAAGCAAATGGTTATGCATGAGCATTTGATTGAACTTTCACAGCACTCTGAAGTACATACTGCTGGGGATGTTTAGCATGACTATTTCACCAGTTTTATTCAGAAATTTGTATACTGCTTAATGTTCAGAATTTCTAAGCGGTGAAGTCTATGGCACAATTGCTTTGTATTGCACAGGACATTGTGCTGCCAAATATGTTAAAACTCTAAAATACTGTGAGAACACCAATGATCATTGATACAGCATGAGAATTTCAGACATTTCCTTGATGGTTCTGTGACAGGTTCAGCCAAAACACTAAGGATTTTAGCAGAGGGCCTTCGCGGTAGTGGTGTCCGCCCTGTGGAATGCCCTCCCTTCAGATATCAAAGAAATAAACAACTATCTGACATTTAGAAGTCATCTGGAGGCAGCCCTGTTTAGGGAAGTTTTTAATGACTGATGTTTTAATGTATTTTTAATCTTTTGTTGGAAGCCGCCCAGAGTGGCTGGGGAAATCCAGCCAGATGGGCGGGGTAGAAATATTATTATTATTATTATTATTATTATTATTATTATTATTGTCAGAATGTTCAAAGTAATATTTTGTATTTTCCTAGAATCACAGTACTCAGCCATTATTTCCATTACTGCCTAATTTCAGGAACAGCAGTGTTACTAATTGTCTCTGCATGCTTGTTTCAAGCTGGTAGAGGAGAAACACAGTTTATGGCACGAAGACGGATGCTGCAAGGCAGAAGGTCAAAGTCATGATTTGTTGTGCTCCTCATATTATCCTCTAATGCTATCGGCATAAGTTACCTGAATTTGGGAAGATAATAGTTTTGAATCTGGGAAGTTCTTTCCATAAGCCTTACAACTCGTTCCTTAGGTGAACTATGACTCATTAATAAAATGGTGAAAAACTTCAGAAACAAAAATTAACGGGATAATAGAAGAGGTGGAAAGAGATGTATAAGTTGCTGTGCATACCATTGTGAGGACAATTTCACTCCACTTCTGTCAATGGTAGCTTTTTCATTGCTATGACGATGAGGGTTATTGCAACTTAAGGTTCCTTTGAGGGTTCCATCCCTTTTTAAGTTTTCTCTAAGCCAGCAATCCCTCGTGTTAAACAGTAGTAGAGGCTAACAAAAGGACGAGAAGGGGGAACAGTCATCATTGTATCAAGGTGAAATATGTGGCACTGATGCAGGAAGGGGAAAAATTGAGCATCAAATTACTATGGCAATGACTGAGAAATGAAATAGCTATAGAAAGAGAGTCAGCGGGACTGCAAATTGGCACATGAGTTCTCAGTACCGACTTTACTGGTAGAAAGCCAAATTCAGAGTGCCCTCCATCATCCCCCTGTAGCATTTTATAGTCACTAATGACATTTTATTGCTCAAGGAGTCATTCAGCCATATATAGGTGGGAATTTTCCTTGACTTATTTTACTGTATCTCTGGTCTGATCTGGTGTGGAGTCAGTCTTTTAGCTTCTGAAACTTCTGTAGAAGGTGTTATGAGCTGTAAAGGAAGTGAAGTGGCCAGAGGCTTTGATTTCTTATGGTTAAATAATAATAATACATGGCACTTTGCTTCTTCAGAGCTTGTGCTTTTTATAGCCTAGTGTTTACCTAAGAAATCATGAACAATCAGTTTAAGAGACTGCAAAACATGCCAACTGAACAAATTTTCCTATTCTTGATGGTACAGTGGCCACAACCTTTGGGCCATTATTAGAAGCAATAATACCAAGGTTGAAGGAACAAGTGAACATGCTGCTTTGAAATCTGGCACAGGTTGCCTCCAATGTATGGTTTTCTAATATTTTAACTTGGAATAATCCCTTTTTGTCACTCTAAGAAAGCTTGCATTTTTTATTGCTGTACATTTTTTTTAAAAAAATGACATTAAGCAACCAGGAAATGAAAATTTGGTGGTCTGATTATCCAGTTACACAATCTGTAGAATTGTGCTTTGTATAGTTAATGTATTCCAGCTGCAAATATCAAGGGTTTTTGTTTTTTGTTTTAGGATTTAATTTCTTTATAACTTGGAGATAAATGATATGGTGGTAAAGGGATAGCTGGAGCACACAGGGATGATTTACCTAAAAATAAGTTATTGGGATTTAGGAAACTAGAAGCCATTGGGAAGAACAGGAGGCACAGAAGCCAAGGGTCATTTTCACATTTAGAAAATCATACAGCCCAATAAGTATTCCCTGAGGAATTTGAAATACACAGTTGCCTGGTTCACACATAATGCTAGGTCACGGTTTGTTTATCCTAACTATTGTTAGTTTGAATGAGTGAACCATGCCCTGCAGAATGTGATTTTTTTTGGGGGGGGGGGAGCATAAATTACAATTTGAAGTCATGGTTTAGTGTTGATTTATGAATTATGGCTTGTTTTAGTAATGGCTCAGCATTATGTCTGAACCCAACAGTCTTGCTTAACCCATGGTTTGTTTGGCCATTCCACCACTTATGTTCATTTTAAGCTACAGAAGCACAAGGCAAGAGCAATTGGAAAAGAAATCAAGCTTTGGAGAAACAAGCCTTGTCTATGAGACAACTCATTGTTTGTTACACAAACTATGGCTTAGTGTTATGTGCAGCTGCAGCTGCTATGATATAGCTGGTGCATTCCAACTCCATGTGCAGAAACTGAGTACCATGTATGAATCAGCTGCACTGGATGTGCAAATGTACAAATAGGCCACATGGCTAAAAAGAGATGGGATTCTGTTTCCAAACCATGCAAAAGAGGTGGATGCCTAGAAAAAGTATTAAAGCCAAGGGCTGTGATTTCCCTTTTGGGCTATTGTGTTGCACACTGATAAGCCAAAAGTCTTCCACCTCACCCTATGGCTCACTGTATTATGGCTCATCCCATGAATAACCTGAGCCTTACCAGTCCTAGGCTAAAAGCTATTGCCACTATTACAGATGGGTCTTGAACTAGAAGAGAGAGAAAGGGCAAAGCTGGCAAAGAAAAATATACATCCCTCCCCTCTAGAGAGGTGAATGTTGCTGTAGGTATTGCCCTCCCTAATGGATTCAGAAGTCTCAAGTTACTTGCATGAAGGGAGCAAAGGAGAAAATGAAGACTGCAATGAGACTTATGACTGCTTTAATTTTGCCCCTACAGTATAAAATGGAACCATTTAAAAATTACTCTCTAAACCCTGCATAGGAGAGCAATAAAACTAGTTTTCGCACTTTCCCCTCTAAGTGTTTTAGTCTGAATGCATGAGCCTCTGGCAAACACTGGAACATCAGAGCATCGCATCATTTTTCATTTTGTTGTTACTGTGGTGGTGGTGCTGGGGTGTGTTTTTTTATATATATAATGTTTTGCTTCAGGAGGTTATCATTGCAGAATGCATCATCCAAGCAGAGTTGTTGTTGTCTGTGCTAAACCATGAACGTGCAACCATAGTTACCTCTTCTGTTTATTCTGTTCCAGCAATTTCATTAATTGTAAACCTGTTCGCTGTTTGCTAGTGAGCTATCACTGTGTGTTGTTTACTAATAGCTTTAGCTCTGAGGATTTCTGGGTACATATGAAGGGTCTTCTGATAGAAATGATGTGTGTGTGGCAGGGGGGGCAATCTTCCAGGGAGGAAAAAAAAAGCAATGCAATTTTTCAATATGTGGCACATTTACTATAAACAGTGGGAATCCGTCAACTCAACTAAGCATTTCATGGGAACCTCCATATCAAAGAAGGCCATTTGGAAAACAGCCTTTGTCTTAAATGTGTCTGTAGACAGTGCATTTGTTGGTTTTTGAGTAAATCCAAGCCTATTTATAAGCTCATCTGTTACATGAAGGGGATATGGAAATAGCTCCCTGTTGCATGAAAATTATCTATACTCTACTAGAGACAATACACTTAGCCTACTGAAAGTAATAGAGTGAAGTCAGCTTCATAGTTTATTTTAATGGGCAAAGGCTCTGCACATCATAATATCAAATAAACTCCCCGGAAAACATCATCCTCGTATAATTGTATTATACAAGAGGAGTGTCACTTTTTCTTTGGAAGAGCACCATTACACTTTTATGATATACGTTAAGGGGAAACTAGATGGTACCATTGATTCCTGCAGTAGCATTTTTACATCAAAAGACCTATGTCTGCCGTCCAGGTCACTGATATCACAAATGAAGGGGATTTAATGGTCTAAGTTTGGTCTCCTGAGAACAACAGAATAGTTAGTACCACCATAAAGTCTGACAATGTAGCCCCTTTGGCAGGTTTTTGTTGATAATAGGCTTGAACTGCAATCTTTTTGCCTTGGTATAAGGGGATCTTTTACAGGAGGCTTGAGATGCATTAGGGGAATAAAGCAGGGGTAGGAAAAGCTGCTGAGTACACGGCTGCTTTTCACCTGCACCATACCTAGGGTAAGGTTAATGCAGTAGTATCCATGTGAAAACTGCCTCACCCTCGCATTAAAAGGAGCTTATCATTAGGGATTACTGAGCGGCTGCACCAGCTGCAAGTCTTTACTTAAAGACTTAAAGGTAAAGCTCTTTCCATTCCCTATCCAATGACATTTGCAGCTCACTATAATTTATTGAATATCTTCCAAAGAGCAAACACAGGATTTCTCCTGGCACTGTTTTAGTTGGGTTGTAAACGTTTGCCATTTACCAAGAAAGGGGAAGGGGGTGGAGGGACACATTAACACTTTTGCAAAACATGGTGTAATATTTTGAACCTATCTTTTGAACCTTAAGCTGATTCCTGTTTCTCTGAGTCCAGCCTGTACATTATTTAAAAGTCAAAGTCTTATAGTAGCTTTGCAATGAAAGTCCTGTGTCTCCCTCCCCAAAGAAGTGGCCATTGTTTTTGCTTTGGCTGACACTCTATAATGGCAAAAGTATGAAAATTTTAAACTTTATGCAGAAGAGACAGTTTTTTAACACCTACTGTATTTCATAGCCACATTCTCTATGTCTCAGAATCCTTGAAAAGAATCCAAAGAGAATTTAGTGAGGTTATCTTCATTTATTAAGGCTGCCAATTTATTGATGAAGATGATAAAAAAAAAATAGTTAAAGAAGGCAAATTACATGCCTGGTGATGAAACATTTTCTTCGCCTTCCGGGTAACATGCATGCAAATTATATTAATAGGCTATAATTATGTAAACTTTATTATGTGTGTTAAAGATAACATTAAAATTATAAGACAAATGACACTTAATCACCAAAGGAGGATAATGACAAAAAAGTCAGCAAAATGAATGGGCATCATAAAGATTGTTGTGCTTCTTTGCACAATGACCCTTTATATTATAATAAAATAAAATAATAATAATGAATAATGTTCCACACACTATGTTTCACCTTCAAATCACTCTACAAACATTGTCTGATTATTATACAAGCATTTGGGTTCAATCAGTCTGTGCAAATTTGTGCACTGTGCGTAAGACCTTTCCCCAGTCAAACACCCAAATTGCGTTTCTTTCTTCTTCCATTTCATACTGTAGGATGCTAGATTTAACAAGTTAGCAAAAATGAATGATTGCAATATGAAATACAGATGACTGTGGTGAAATAGATGGTACCTTTCCCCCCAGAACGAAGTACTTTAAGAGGAAACTCAGAGGAAATGCCATCTGGGTTATTCTAATTACTAACTAACTTTATGACATTTGCTAAATATTATAGAAGGGTTTTCTCAGTGGTTTATGGTTGTTAAATTAAGATAGCACCCTCATCAGTTACTGGTGATCTCTGATGTGAGTCCCAATGCCTCCACCAATTCAGCTGCAACCCCACATGTTGCTGCTTCAGAAAAGCCAGAAAGCCCACAAAGAGGGTAGGGCAGCATATGAGAACACGGAGGGGAGAGGGGAGAATGACCACTAGCCATGCCCTTAAAGGCTCACATTGCATCTCTAAAGCTATTAAAAATGGGACAGCTTTGTGCTGGCAAGGACTTACCATTGCTTATAAACAGGACCATTCTGCAACTATGCTGGGCCGGTCACTGAATGCATGCTCAGATGGAAGACTCAGAACATGTTCATTGTAGACCTGACACATGCAAGCCTTTCAGGATAATTCACTGGGCAACAATTTTTTACTTTTTGAATGTTGTCTAGATTTCTACAACTGATTTAGGGTATTTTTGCACTGCTGAGTCAGGAAATGGCATCCGTTTCTCTCCATCAGGTCAGGTTTACTGTAAACTGAATGGTGGGCATTGATAAAGGTAAGTACATGTAAAATGCATGTTGCTTCACCATTTTTCAAACTTCAGGGCTTGAACTTCCATTTCTTGGAACTCCTGGAATGCTCAGCGGCAGGGAGGTCTCTCTTCAGAGTCCAACAGTAGTCAGCCATCATGACTGCGTCCCAGCGACCCTGATACCTGGTCTGCATCTCTTTCATGTCCTGATGGAATCTCTCTCCCCCTGCTCGTCACTCATTGAACCCAGGTTCTCAGGAATCCGGTCCATATGTGAAAATAGGTAGTGCATCTTGATGCTCATGTTGCAGCCCAGGTTTCTGAAAGCAGTCAGCATGTTGTTGACAAGTTCTGCGTAGTTTCTGCCCCATTAACTTAGTTTTGATCCCCCAACTTTATGCTTTGCCGCACCAATTTATGGAAGATTTTGAGGTTTTATGACTTCAAACTGATCCCTTTTTGACATAATCACCCAGAACTATCGGACCTGAATACTTCTTGTCATTCAAACAATCATTTCCAATCAAAACAATTATTCGACATGGCATTTTACCCCCACCAACTTCTTCTAAAATGCTCCACACAAGCGTACATGTGAACAAAAACGTAAAAAAATGACATGCGGCCATAGCTCAAAAACTTGACCTGATTGAGTAAAACCAATGTGATTTTTGGATTCAGCGCATCAGATTCATCCTAAATCAACTGAAAAAACACAGACAACAAATTTGTTGTTGACCAGTGTAATCCTTTCAGCTCTGCCTTGCTTGTTTTGCAATAGAGGAGCATGCAAAACAGCAACAAACGGAAATTATTTCACAGGACTACTAGTCACGTGACATTTAAGCATCTTGGTCACATCTGCATGCCCTAGATCCACTCGTATGGATGGATGCATACACCATAATGCTGCCACTAGCTAATTTACATCTGTTGCAATGGTTGCATCAATTAGCTCGTGTTAAAAGTCAGCACATTTTAGTGTGTGTGTGTGTGTAGATTCCATCTTCTAACATTATTTTTAACTAGAAAAAAATCAAAATTGCAGTTAATCTCATGCAATGCTTAATCTCTAAAATGAGAGCTAGCAGATTTCAAACCTGCCTGGATTCTCAGCTCCTACCCTAGAAATTCTCACAGATGTGTGCAATCTGCTTTTGAAGGAACGGCACTCTGCAATTGCTACAAGGCACTTTTCTCTGTTATCATTTCACATATTCCAGATTTCTTCCATGGCGCTAATATCTAATGAAGCCCTGGTCTTGTTGCATAGCATGCACTGCTCCCCACAGCCTGGTATGATCTCTCCTAAATGATAGCGACATTCATAGAGTTTTTGTAAAATGGACATCATGCACATCACTACAGCCACTGTCTTAACCCCCTTGCCCCAAAGGGGGATATTACTACAGAATGCAGCATCCTCACACTAGAGCATTCTCTCAACCTTGGGATGGCATGGGTTCAAGGCACAGGACAAGTGGGCCTGAGATTCTGGAGAACAGGAGGGAGCAGAAAAACTGAGATGTAGAGGGAAATGATAAAGTCAGGTCCCAGGCCTCAGAGGGCTAAGTTGGCCAAAGACTCCCACCAGGGACAGACTGCTTTTTTGTTTGAGTTTATAAATTTATTCTAACAAGACTCCTGCCCCAGGCCTCAGACAAGTTCTGGATAGAGCTTTCGGTCCATCCATCCCCCCAAAAAACACCCATTATTACCAAATGTGCAGGCTATAAAGCATTCAGCAATACTGGAATATGACATCATAGAATTGTGGAGGGCTTTCCTTATTCGAACCCTTGATGCAAATGTGCTAGGCCATGGGAGGGAAAGAAGCGTATTTTGAATATCTTGTTTAACATCACAAACCTGTATGGGAATCTTCCAGAGCAATGCTAATTATTCCTCGTCCATCATTAGAACATTTGGCTTGAATGGTGGTGGTGGGGAATCTTGCTGACCTTAATCCCACCTGAATCATAGTTAATAATAGTACATGAAGGTCATTTTCCTGTCAGGCAGGTGTGAAATATTTTGGCTCTTTGCCATTCAGCAAGTCATCCAGCTTAAACTTATATGTTTAGACATGTTCATATTCTTTAATGGTACAACATTTAGTTGAGCAGGATGAAAGTGACAGAGCTGAATCTTCACAAACAGAAAAGGTTACCTCTTTTCTTCTATCAGGCCCAAGACAGTGTAGCAGCAAATTGTGCCCCCACCCCACCCCCGAAGCCAAGCATTCAGGGCAGCTGTGAAATTCCACAAAACAGCGCAATGACTTTCCTTGCCATTATTTATTGTCCATCATAATAATCACAATAATATTGAAAATAAAAAATCTGGTGCCTTTTCATGATAGCCCAACCAGCCGTCTCCCTCTCCCTACTGGTAGGGCTGGCCCTGACTAGACCACTTCAGTTTGCAGCCCTGATGAACGCCTGACTAGCCTCCCTTGATCCCAGGATATTAATCATTATGAATGATTCCCAATGCAGAAAACCACATTGCTGTCTATTTCCCATATGCAAAACATAAATTGTTAATGGGTTTACTGTCCAAAACACTGCTCCAGCTCTATTATGTATGTATGCACTGAAGCTGTGAGAGTGATTTGCTAATCTGGAGGCTGTGGTAAATATTTCTTTGTGTCAGTCTTTCATCTGCATTCCTAAACTTCATAACAAAACTTCAAGGAGCGGGGGAGAAAGAAACTATTAGCTGCGAATTAGACATTCTCAGGGAAGCCTAGAATTATTTTTCAGGACAGAGGGCTCAATTTCTCAATCTCAGGTGTATGATTAAAATCAATTAAATCACTCTTCCAATGTCAGCGTCAAGATTCTCCTGACAAATGAAATTATGCGAGAAAAGTGTTCTCTTCACTCTTCAACCCTTTCTCAGTATCGCTCACATCCACAAATGAGATCAAAATTTTCAGCTCAGGGATTTCAGAGATATTTTCCATAAGAACATGAAAAATCCCAGGAACCCTATGTAAGTAGACTTTATAGTCTCTAGTGGCAAGATTTTGATGGCCTCTGTATGGTTGGATATATTCATGACTAACAAAAATGAAAAAATTACTGAGCAAAATTTAACCATTTGGCCACCACACTTGATTCTTCCCCCCACCCCCCAATAAATTAAAGTTTCAAATGTAGCACTATGTACTGTGCTACAAGGGTACACGAGGTAACCTTTGCGTCTCTCTTTTTATTCACAGAGATGTCCCTGATGACATTCTCTTATTGAAAAACTGAATTTTATCAGTCTCCTTCAGTTGCTTCCCAGATATAAGGACAGAAAGCAGGCAGACTCAGCTACAAATGACCACATCATTTCCTGGGGCCCTGAAGGGTTAATAGTAATTTACAGTAGCATTCATCAAAATAAAACCATATATTGTGCACTCTCTCTTTTTGTCTGTGCAGGAAATATAATTGTTAAAACGCAGATATATCTCATTTCCAGAAGTGCTTTCATGTGCCTGGACTATAATACTGGCAAATTATTTAGCTCTTAATTTGTTAAAGCATGGACTTAAGTTTAAATTTTACCCATGGGACTTGTTGTATATATTATTTGCTGGTTTGCTTTCACTCTGTTTTCTTTAGAGACGTAAACAAATGTTTTCTGCATTTCAGAAGTTTTCCTATTCCCTATACTTTTTCCTCCACATGCTTTGGGGCAGCAGCATTACACATAGTATTTTGAAATATATTATTTTGATTCTTTTGAAGGAAAACAGCCTGAATTCTACAACAGGAAGAAAAAGAACAACATTTGGGGGTGGGGAAATATGATCTGGGGGGCAGTGAGAGAGAGAGAAAGATGTAGCTCAGTGACAGAGCACATGTGTTGCATGCAGAATGTTCCCCATTCAAGATTTGGCATTGCTAGGTTGGGCTAGGAATGCATTCCAATGCTGGCACATAGCTGCTGAATAAGAGCCTTGTTTGCAGCTAGGAGAGTGAGGAAGCAACATACCCTGATACCTGGTATGTAGCCACATGCAGGGGTCAGTGTGGAAGCTGGACATGTTATCTCCTTATGAGGAAGTTCACAAGGATGTAGGAGAATTCAGGGGTGCAACTGACAGGGGAGGAGACCAGGGGCCTTCTTACAAGAGTTGCCTACCTAGGCGCTGAATAGGATGCCTTGAACTGATGCAGTCACCCACCTGAGAAACTGTCAGAGCTTCAGGTGTGGATGAGGGATTTCTGGAGATGGGCACTTCATTTTCACTTGCCGAGTTGCTGCCCACCAGATGAGTCTTTCTGAGGTGGCTTTGTGATATCACAAAGGGTCTCTCCAAGCCTCATCACCATGTATGAGTCACACAGGACGTGTGGGAGGATTTGCAGGTATGGGGAGACTTTCTGAAGCATTTCCATGAGGTTTCATTCTGGAGGGACAGCCACAGGCTCCAGGCTGAACTCCAGGTTCCAGTGTCCCTGGCTCTTTGGTGTATTTTTTTCCAGAATAGTTGGTACACTGATCCGAATCTTGGCAAGCCAAAGGGTTAACTCAAATCAAATCCGTTTATTGTGAGGACCATGCCTGTACACAAACATTAACATAACAATAGTTAAAAAAAAATATTAAAATTCATTACATACTACGCCAACAAAACCTTCATCCCACAAAATAGAAAGAGAGGGAAAACGAGCAACGAGTTAAACAGACGATGAAGGGGTCTTTACATTGTCATCCATAAGTCTTTCCCTGGCTTTCATGGCCTTCATCACAAAAACCGCTACCACATGGGTAATACGTGGGTTTGCATCAACTAACAAAAATTTTACTCTATCTTCAGGATTGGTTATAGAGTTGGGTATAATTTGCAGCAATGCGTCTCTAAAGCCCGAGTAGATGGGGCAATAGAGGAGGTAATGTGTAAGATCCTCTTTAATTTTCATTAGGCAAGGGCATAAACGATGTTCTACTGGGGTTTTTGTGAATCTACCGGTCAGATATGCAGTTGGCAGTGTTTGAAACCGTGCCATAGTGAAAGCTCTCCGAAGGGTGGGATCAGTGATCTCCACCAAGTAGTTGGCACAGATTTTGACTGCTTTTACTCGGGAAACCAGTAGGAAAACCCAGAGTTTTTTATCATTGTGGAGTCCAAAAAGGCGTCTTTTTCAAAGATCCATTCCCGAACTTTATCAGGGCTCCACAATTTAAGGGTATTAAACTCAGGTAGATTGTATCTGGATAGGATATCTAGTAGGTTTTTATACCAAGTAGTATTATTTTGTACTGATACAAAGGCTTGTTTAGCCAATAAGGTGTTCGGGGCATCTGTGAGGTTGATGAAAAAACGCAGGAATCTTAAGTGGGCCCTGGCAGACACAGAAGGTAATCCTACTTCCACTCTTAGGAGAGCTGCCGGAGTACTCTGAGGGAGGCCTAGAATTCTTCTGAGGTAAAAATTTTGGAAGATTTCAAGCCGTTCTAACAGCTTCTGATTCCATCCCCAGAGTTCTACTCCATATAGCATCTGGGGAATCACTTTTCCAACAAAAGCTTTTAATGCCGGGATCACCAGTTGCCCTCCCTCGAATAAAAAAGCTGAGCAAAGCACCGATTGTCCTACGTGTTAGAAGGGCTACAGTCTTGAAGTGGGCAAGCCAGCTAGATGTAGCTTGGAAAGTGATACCAAGATATTTAAAAGAAAGACACTGTTCAATTTTGTGTTCATCTAAAGACCATCTAAATGTGTGGCGAGCTCTAGTGAATACCACAATTTTTGTTTTGTCATAATTTATCTTTAGAGAGTTTTGGGAACAATAAGCTGCGAGCCCCTCCAGCATGCTATGTAGGCCCCTTCGAGTAAGTGCCATGACAGCCATGTCATCAGCATATAGTAATATATTCAGGTGTTTGCCTTCCAGGGCAGGAGCTGATGAGTTATACTTTGCCATATGTTGAACAATGTCATTTATATAGAAATTAAAGAGGAACGGCGCTAACAAACAGCCCTGTTTAACCCCTTTCCCCAGTGGCAGTGGGTCAGTATAGTTGCCTGACATCCCAGTTCTGATTTTAACTGTGGTGTCTGAATGTAACTCTCTAAGTATTTTGAGAAGTCGTCTATCAATATCTGTTTCATATAGTTTTTGCCATAATTTGTCCCTACAGATTGAATCAAAAGCGGATGTGAGATCTACAAAAGCCACAAAAAGTTTGCTCTTATGTACCTTTGTATACTTATCTATCATTGTCTGTAGTACCAAACAATGGCCTGTTGTACTATGGCCCTTTCTAAACCCTGCCTGTTCCGGATTAAGCAGGTTAGAGTGGTCAGCCCAGTCAACCAGTTTATTTAGCAGGTAGCGAGTATAAAGTTTATACACAATGTCCAGGAGACTTATGGGGCGATAGTTTGAGGGGTCTTGGGGGTCTCCTTCTTATAGATGGGGGCTACCAGGCTCAGTTTCCAGTTTTCTGGGATTTTGCATATATCATTTATTACCGTAAAAGTTGGGCCAAAATAGCAGCCCACCACTGGGCATTTAGTTTAAACACCTCAGGAGGAATCATATCCTCACCGGGAGCTTTGCCATTCTTGAGTGTTTTAATTAGCTGTAAACATTCTGATTCGGTAACAGGATCCCAGCCCATTAATAGATCGTTTTTAAGAGGAGGAAACTGGCTCGGTTTAGCAATGTTTGGAGCTGTGTATAGCCGGGAAAAATGTTGGTACCATAAGTTAGGTGAAATACTGTTGGTTACAATTTTCCCTTTGGGTGAAACTCCCTGGGCAATTATTTCCCAGAACTTTTTGTCGTCCCGCAATTTGATCGCTTTGTCAAGTGCCTCCCATTGTTCCTTTCTGTAGAGGGATTTCTTAAATTTTAGAGTATTTTTATAATGAGAACGCCACCTGTGCAGGTTTTCCAATGAGGACAGGGTCCCTTCCTGTTTTACCTTATTTTGTAATTTCCTAAGCAAAGATCTTAGATTCCTACAGTCTTTGTCGAACCAGGCCCTCGAGTTGTTTTGTTTTTTGGGAGGGTTGGAATTCGTGAGTAGTGGGAAGAGCGACTCTGAGACCTGCTGAAATGTTGAAAAGGGGTCAGAAATAGATGAGATACACTGGTCTCTCAAGGCCAGTAAGTCTGATGAATGCAGGTGTAATTTGATTTTAGATTCCAGGTCGCTGTTCCATTTACGCCTACGAAGGGCCAGAGTTGGAGGTGGGTCTGCACAGTGATTGCGGTATTGCGGATCCTCCACACCACGGGGAATTAGTGAAATTGATATAGGAAGATGATCACTCTCAGTTCTATTGAAAGTCCTGAAGCCCTGTGACCTCTCCAAGAGTTTTGGGGAGACCAGGATATAATCAATAACGCTCGCACCTCTAGGTCCAAGAAAAGAAAAGAAACCCCCTGACCTGTCCATATGGGTACCATGCAAATTATACAAATTATGTTTGAAGGCAGTCTCCATTAATGTAATGCCTGCCTTATTCAAGACCTTATCGTCAGAGGACCAGGGAATAAACCAATCTGCCTCTGGCAGGAACTGAGATTTAGAGCAGTACGTATTAATGTCACTTCCTATCCTGGCGTTGAAATCACCTGCCAGCAGGATATCCATGCCAGGGAGTTCTAGTTCAGCCTTCTCCAAACATAGCTCTAAATCTTCCCAGATTTGTGACGACTGGGGAGGGGTGCCTATGGGAGGGATATATATATTAAAGCAAAGGAAATCTCCTCCTTCACTGCTAGAAATAAGTAAGATTTGTAAATTGTTACTCTTCACCCACTGCTGTTGCCGGGCCTTGCACTTTAGCTTGGTAGAAACAAAAGTGACTAAGCCACCACTGGGTCGGCCTCGGGATTTTGGTTTTATCGCAGGGGTAACAAAGGCTTCAGTATCCCTGTAAAGAGGGGACATGGAGATCTAGACACCATGTCTCCTGTAGACATAAAATCTGAAATTTTGTAAGGAAATCCAGAAGGTCGACGTCACCCTGCTTAGATAGCCATCCCGCCACATTCCAGGATAGAATGTGGAAATAGGGTGATGGTGGAAATAGTGGCAGTCAATCTCTTTTCCGATGGTTTGAGGCTCCTGAGCTGGGCTCCTCCTCTATCTGCCCTGCTTGGTGGTTCCGGGTTTGAGGTCGCTGATCCCTAAATAGGTGTGATAGCTTTAACTGGGGGGCCAATAGGTTGATTTGGCCCAGAGGATCTTCGATGACACCGTTACAAATATCATGTTGTTCAGCTGATGTATCATGATGTTCAGCTGGTTTTCGCAGAGCAAGGGTTTTGCCGACCCGTATAGGCTGTGTAGGTAGCAGGTCGACAACTGCATCTTGCGTCGGTACTGCTAGCGGGTCAAAATTTGACAAAAGCTGTGGATCTTGATTGCGTATTGGGCTTAGAATAATGGAAGCCTCCAATTCCGGCATCGAGGCATATGAGGACGAGAGCATTTCAGACTGGTCTTGCTTGGGTAGTCCAGTGCCAGGCTCGTTGCACGTAGCGACCAGGGTACCAAGCGGGGATGTAGGAAATCAATTAAGTCATTTGCGGGCAGGCTTGCCACTCCCTGTGGGGTAATAGATCCCGGCTCCATTCCCCCGTCTATTTGTTCTTTATGGCGCACAGGCCCAGCATCAACACCGACAGCCCCTGTCCTGGTGCATAGCGGTGTACGGGTCAGATTGGTGAATACCCTTGTAAAATAGATGTACCATTTTCTTGTGCGGTTTCTTAATTTTAGAATCTTTGCAACGAAATGGGCAGATCTAAAGTTAATAACCATACGTCTCATATAAGGTCCAGAAGGCAGCCATGAGATGTCCACGATATCTACGGGCGTAATGTCTGCCCCAGCAGTTGGGTCAGGGAATTTGTGACCGAATGTTTATCCGCCCATTTGTTATAATTCAAGGGGTGGTTTCCCACCAGTACTGCAAGTTTGCTGTTCTGGAGTTGCAGACTTGAGTTTTGTACTTGGTTGGGCAGGCATCTCACTTGTTTTTGTGCAAGGTTGGCCTGCACACTTGGGCAGGGGTGAGCGGAGTTTGCAATATTGTTAAGCTGAAGAAGTGAGGGGGGGCAACTGAACAAGCCAAAGGCTTTTTCAAGCTTCTTTTCGATCCCATCCAGCCTTTTATATAAGTTGGTGATGGTATGTGTTATCAACTCAGTCTGGCAGATTAGCAGTTCCAGTGCCTCTCGGTCCTTGTTTAACTGGGCTGGTGACTGGGATAATTCAGGTGAAGTTTTTTGCAGGGACTCAAGAGTCTGTTCCATCTGTTCCTTCATACACAGGCTCGAGGCTAGTTGTGGGCCATCCACAATGCCGGCAGGCTCCTCATGAGTAGTACTGGGAGCAAGGACCTCATAGCTGTTTGCTGTGGGGAAGTTTCTACAGATCTCATTTAGGTCATTGTCAGGCAAGAAATCCCTGATATTTGTCTGTTTTTGGCAGTGCTCGTAGCTTCATTGGAATGCTGCCTGCGGCGTTTCTTCCCTCTCATGTCGGCAAGAAAATAGGGAGAAAATTTCTCAAAATAGCAGGGTCAGGGCAGGTTGTGCTGTTAATGAGCCCTACTCCCTTTAACAGTCTTTATCTGCCGTGTTTTCTTGCAGATTTATGGGAGAAGTAGAAATAATCTAAACCATAAAACTTCTAAAACCATAAAACTTCTAAAATAAGCGCCTTAAGGCATCTTAGAGCCCTTAGAACCCGTCAAAGCAGAAAAAAAAATATAGCTTTACCGAGCATAGGACAAGGCTGCCGCTCACGTCGCCATCTTGGGTTAACTCATGATTGGACTCTTCTGGAATTTTCCCTTACTGCAGTTTAATATGGTTTTTGTCCGAGCAGCTTGCCAATTCCACTGTCCATTTTTGGCATGACAACCAAGCCAGGTCCTTAATTCACTCACTTCTAAGAACACTTGGGTGATGGAGCTGGCCAGGGTTTTTCCTGCTGTCGCCACTTCTGGGTCCTTTTTCTTACACACCATGAGCCAGGCCTTCCATGGGAGTAGAGGGAAGGTGAAATCCTGTTGTGTCGGTGGAAGCATATGGGAACAATGGTGGACATTGTTCAAATACAATAATTATACAGTGGTACCTCAGGTTACATATGCTTCAGGTTACATATGCTTCAGGTTACACACTCCGCTAACCCAGAAATAGTGCTTCAGGTTAAGAACTTTGCTTCAGGATGAGAACAGAAATCATGCTCTGGCGGTGCGGCGGCAGCAGGAGGCCCCATTAGCTAAAGTGGTGCTTCAGGTTAAGAACAGTTTCAGGTTAAGAACGGACCTCCGGAACGAATTAAGTACTTAACCTGAGGTACCACTGTATGTATTTTTGCGAGGCCAGCCTGTTTTGGTTTTAAATTTTAAACGTTACATCTTATTTTACTACTTTGAAATCATGTGAAGCTTTTCCGGCCCCAGCTCTACTTTCTACAATCCTGTCAAACCAATTATATTGCCAACTCTGTTTTTTCAGGTTAAAATCACCCAAATACAAATTCTGGAAATATACTCAGCCCTGCTGAATACAGTTAAGTCTAAGTGTATGCACTGCTGAGTACAAACAAAGAGGCAATACTGGGACTTATCAGGTATCCTGTGCTTTATTACTAATCCACATGTGGGAAAGACTGAGCAACGCCAAGCGCTTGAGTGTTTAATGGAGTTATTTAGGGTCCTAGATGCTCACTGCTCGTGATACCTCCAAAGCAGTGTGACACATGGCGACAATAAAGAAAAATGGGGGAAAATATGAAGAAGGCGTTTTTGCAGCCCCCGCCTGAGCCCAGCAATGAGGATGGTGAAGCAGAGTTCTGATAAGATCAATTACTTTTTAATTTTATTGCCTCTCTGGTCAAGTTTCTAGTGTCAAGATTCTCAAGCCCTAATCAGCATTCACGGTGTTTATAGCCCACAAGGAAGATCTCACCAGGCAAAGCTAATTCAAGGTGGGATTTACACAACTCTGCTTAGTTCACGTATCTTCTTTTATTATAGTATTATTATGGTATTGAGGAACCACAATGAAATTTTATTTCTTTGGAATTGACACACAATGATTGAAACTCCCAAGAGGCAAACCATGGAAGAAATCCACCAGAGGCAGTTATGCACTAGAAGTTATCTTCTTTCTCATGTGTTTCCTTTCCCCCTTTTATCCGCACCCCCTCCCCTCCGCACATACAAAATCAACACCTCAAAGTGCTTTTTGGCTTTCATTTTGTTTATTCCAGCCATAAATATTTTATTACTTAAAAAGGGAAGCAGTGCTTGCTCCTAATTGTTTTTGATTAAATATGCTAATTACATTTTGGAATATTAATGACACATACGGTACTAAATGTTTTAATAATGCAATGAAATAAGCTGGCAAATATAACAACAAATTAACCTGAAACTGCTACATGATTTTCAGAATTTTATATTATACCAATACAAATAAAAGGGTAAAATAAATTGCCAATCCATTCTGGGCTGGACACCTAAAGTTTGGGTTTTTAAAATAACATAAAATTACAATGTGTTGGGTATGCTGTATGTGAACTTCTTAGACCTGGTAGTAAGCTTTGTGTCTCTCTGAATATATGATCCAAGGCTGTGTACGACTATTTTAATTTTGGATTGGCTGTAGGAGAGTATATGGTTCAGGTGTGGGGGAAGAATTCTGCCTTCTACCCAACATCATTCTGAGAAGCCCATCTGTCCCCCCCCCCATCCTAGCTCCATTTCTCCAGCTGCTGTTATTACACTACCATTCCCAATGCTGTTCTACCATCTTGATTGCAACACATATTTGCTTACATTCAGCAAAATGGCTACCTTACCTAGGAAAATATTACAGCTTAGCAACAAAGTAGGTACAGTAGTGTTGCACTGCTAGAAGCTGCAGGAACCAGATAGTGAGTATTGGGTAGCATCTAGCATGTAAGATCTTTCTGGTGGGCTAGTTTGCAGACCCTCTGAGTGTCTCTATTTTCCAGGGACAGTCATGGATTTATAGAAGCCATCCTGGTTTCTTATTTGATTCTGGAATGCCCCACTTTTGCCTAGGATGTCCCTATTTTCACAGAGAAATGTTGGAGGGTATGAGTTTGTAGTCTTGCTGGGCAATGCTGGTTGAATGATAGTGAATCTAAAGGTCTCTGTACCTTCTTCACACTGTCCCCTCTCACAGTTCCCTTACATGAAAAGTTTTTAGACCTGAGTATAAGCTTTAATGGAAGGAGGGGCTGATGGGAATTATAGTCCAAAAGCATCTAGAGGACACCAGGTTGGCAAAGGCTGTACTATAAAATATGGCACAGATACCAGAAGTTCTCTTCTGCCAAGATGTGCTACCCTTATGTCCTAGAAACAATCTAGGACAAAAATGACAGGGATAGAAGGCTTGGTTTGAGAAATGTGTTTTTGTCTGTGTGGTAAAAGAGATTCATTTGCCAGTGAGAAGGATCAAAGATTGTGTTTTGAAACTACTGGGAGGTTACCCACTGAGTTCAAGATGAATAGGATTTGATCCTTACCCCCAATCTAGGAGCTCAGAATAAACATTGGGTACCCATGTAAGCCAAAAATTAAAGCATTCTTCTTTTGTGGTAGAACAAAATTGGATATATCCTTTAAACCTAATGTGTGATTCCTTCATATTCCTGCTGCAAAGGAGAGTGAGTCTTAATTGGCATCAATTAAATCTAACTTTCTTCTCCTTCCTCTTTTAAACTTTTAGTTGACTTCCTTTGCAGTTTTGCTGTAAACCTATGCTTGTTTGCTTGCTTTTTCATTGTAATTGTTTTGGATGGAAAACTTGTTTTCATTGCCTTAATATCTATGTGGGAGAATCTGTAATATAAACAAAAATCAAACATAGCTTTGAATGAACACATAGAAGATTACCAAGGCCTATCAGATCAACCTAAATTCAAAAGGACAAGGCAGTTTGTTCCAGCAAAGAACTAAAGCCAAGTTGAGAATGGAGCGGAACTTAACAAACAACCACACACACACACACACACACACACACACACACACAAACGCCTCTTTGATATAAAGGGGAGAGGAATCTCACCAAGGCCACATTCACACCAAACGTTTAAAGTGCTATGATACCACTTTAAGCAATCATTGCTTCCCCCCAAGAGTTCCGGGAACTGCAGTTTGTTAAAGGGGCTGAGAATTGGTGGGAGGCCCATATTTCTCTCCCAGAGCCTCAGAGTTACCAGTGAAGAGAGACTTATTGTTAAACCACTCTGGATTGCAGGTAGGAGGCCTCAGTCTAAAATATTTGGGGGCAGGTGTGTCCCCCTCCCAGATCCCTTTTAGATCAGATCCCCTCAAGTCCAAAACAGATCTGGAAGCTCTCCTCACCACCCTACCTTCCAAGGTGATGGTGCATAAAGGAGGGCCTGTGGCAGCCATAGGGCCTTATGTTTCAGACCTGGATTCTGGCATAAACATACATAGCTGCATCATTTGTTGCTTTCGCTTTCTGGTGTCCCTAGACACTGTTGTGAGTATGCACTGGAGCATGGCAATCACAGCAAGGATACAGGCTGCTGACGTCAGCAAGGGCAGCTGTCCACTCAGGAGTCAAGCAAGTAAATGGAGCTAGCTGTGGCACTTGCCACCCCACCAATCAGCATCTAACAGTAAGGATGGGAATTCCTCTACACCAGGGATAGGCAACCTAAGGCCCATGGGCTGGAAGCAACCCACGCAGGCTGTTTAACCAGTCCACTCGGGGAGTCCCCGTGCACTGCCCTAAAGCAGCACAGCATGGGGACTCTCTTCCATGGCTTCTGCACATGCCCAGAACCTGAAAATCGCTTATACGCAGGCACGATTTCCAGCATCTGGGCATGCACAGAAGTGATTTCCGGCACCACGGACATGTGCAGACACAGTTTCCGACATCGCGCTGCACCGGTCCAGCCCACGGAGGATCTCTGCGGGAGTGATCTGGCCCATGCCCGGTAAGCCTTACCTTCTGTTGCCATGCAGTAGCTGCCAGTCAGCTACTTCATCGCCCATGGCTAATGCTAGCATTAGGATTCCTCTTTCTGCTCTGCGATTCAATCTGTGTACATATGCAGAGTGCAACAGTACTGAAAATACCCTTCAGACTGAAAAGTACAGCCAGCTATAGGTATGCAGCAGTCTCAGCCATGTCCATACATCAAAAACAGAAGTATGGCACATTACTAACTTGCAGGTGCCAGTTCAGAAACAAGACCAGGTGACTTGGAAACTGAAAATCGAGATAGGCCAAAAAAAGTGCATCCTTGCTAATAATAATTGCAGATTGGTGATGGTGGTGGTAGTAGTAGTAGTAGTAGTAGTAGTTATTTTGTTATTTATACCCCTCCCATCTGGTTTAACTCTTAGGTTGTGGGGTACAGTAGTAACACACTATAAGGCAACCATTAACTCATTAAGACAAGATTCAGCAACATTATCAGCTTCTATCCATCATCTCTAAAATTGAAATTATATTGATTTGCCTCATAAGGTTATGAATATAAAATATCTGCCAAATATGGCAAAGAACTTTGTACATTAGAAGTGTATCTATTTTATGTAGCATATAGTATAGTCTGGCACATTTTTAAGTTCATTAGATATTTGATTTTAGAAGTGCCCTCTGCAAATGAATTCTAGGGTCTATTGGTTATGTGAAAAGTAATTTCATTTTTAATACACTATTTGCCATCTATTAATTCACTATTTTCTGCCTTTTAATTTAATTGAGCATCCATTAGCCTTACATTAAACCATTTCTACAAAATGAACTTAAAAAAACTTTTAGAAAGACCTGCTCACTTTCTTATTAAACCCAATCATCTCCTTGTATGCCCACTCACAGGTTCTAACATTGTGAAAGGAATTCTGCTCATATAAACATGGTCTGCCTTTCCAAAATGGATCGCATAAAACCCATAGACAATAATTTATTAGAGTGATTTTCCTCTGGGCTTAATTGCTTATTGATTTTGGGATCTTGGATGGTCAAATACCACTATATAGTTAGCTCACCATTGCTATGCAGG